GTGAAGTAGTTCTTCGCTGGGGCTGGCTGGAGAATTCCATGGGGTGGGGGTGGGGGGACCACATGTTTTTGTAAACGTATATGCAGCCATATGATTTTACATATGCAGATATAGATATAAAATACCAACTTCAGAAGGTAAAGGTTGATGAAATCTTTCATTCTTGGGGGTAGGGCTTGCAGAAAATTTCTTATGAATGAGGCATGCTTGGGGAAGGGGATGTTGGGCTTTACAGGTTGGTATGGAACATGAAAGAGTTTCTCTTTTTTATCAGTGGGCCCTTAGGTTTGAAAAGACAGGGAAACACTGATGTTTAAGCACATTTCTTGGCTGTAGGTTCTGGGCTTGCAAAGACCTTCCCCTGGAGATTAACAGGGCTGATGGGAACACAGGCAAACCCCAGCCAGGAAGGCAGCCGCCTGCACCCTCTCCTCTCATTCTGGGGCTGGACCAGAAGTTCTCTGCTCTTGTTCTGTGAAGGCCTTGAAGACCTGCGTGAAGGACATGGGGTTCATGGGCTCTCAGGATAGCTGTGACTTTATCCTCTTCCCTGCAGGCCAAGAAGATCCAATGGGACTGGGTGAGTGGGAGTTCTGTTAGAGGACTAGCTTTGAGTTCACAGGAATTTATTTCACATAAGTCATCTGCAGACTTCGGGACTTGACTTGCCATAAGGAATATGCTCCTTGTACCATTTCATGCAGAGCTCCCTCTTTGGGGACCCCCTTCTTCTCTCCCACAGTCGTGGAGAGACACCGAGGCTGGGAGCTTATCACTGGGTTTTCTACCTCTGTTCTCCCCCATATCCACGCTACTCTGCTCAGAGACCTTCAGTAGCTCCCCTTTGCCTAGAGGGTAGAGTTCAGATTTCTTGACCTAGCATTAAGGCCATTGACATTCGGGCCTTAGCTGATTTTTCCAAGTCTCTTTTCCTTGTGTGAACCATCTACCTAACCAGACCAGACTGTTTGGTCTCCTTCATCTTTGGATGCCCCCTCCCCACCACCTCCTTTCTTTCTACCCTGGAGATGACATTTCTGGTCCTCTGAAAGCTCCAGGGAATGGCCAAACCAGAAGGACTCATTTCTTCCTCAGAGGAAGCCTGCAGGGCTCACTAGAGCCCCACCTACTGCCTATGCTGTGACACTAAGGTTACCTTAGTCCACATTCCCTACCCCATGGAACTCATGTGGAAAGTTGTAGCTCCACTTGGGCCCACAATGAATACGCTTGTTTTCTAATTGCTAATACAAGAGTTTCTCAGAGGGCTTTGTTTACCCAAGTCAGAAGGGTCGTGGGGAAACTGATGCCAAATAGCCCCACTAGGTTAGAGCAGAGCTCAGAAGCAGAAGGCACAGGCCAGACCCCCATGCGTTTGCTTCCTGCACAAGAGCCTGTAAAGACGTTCTCCTCAGGTTTTCTTGGTTTGGAGAAACCAAAACTGAGCTCGATAATCAGGAAAGCTCACAGCAGGAAGTCCAGGCATGTAGGGCTCCGAGACATCAATGGGGTCCTTTGTCTCTCTCCTCCATCATGCTGTCCTTGGCATCCTGGCTTCACAGTCCAGCTGGTCAGCAGATGGCAGGCGGCAGCCTTGGGATAGCTCCTTCTTTCTTCTCCGGTGGGTGGGAACATGGACTGTGACTCCTCCTGCTTTGCTCTGTTCAGTTCTACTCCGGCAGTGGCCTCCCCTGGGCTAGTAACTGGCTCCAGAAGCATGCTCTCTGCTGATCAGCCCTCTGGTGGTGGAGGTCCATCTTGGCTTTGTTTGCACCTCGTGGGTATCAAGGAAAGGGCTGGCTCCTGGCCAAACCTGGAATTTTATTAGGCAGGGGAAAGGGGTGGGAAGCCTGTCCCTTCTGTCCCCTCTGTCACTTATTAATACACTTGACTTGGAAACCCAAGGAGCAGAGCTGGTGACCCGTCTGGTCCAAGGCACCAACAGGTGACAGCATATCTTGTCTTGGTCTCCATCTTTGGGAGGAACCTTCTTAGATTTAAAACGCTTTGTTTCAAATGACTGTAATTAAAAGTGACAGGTCCCGCCTCAGTGGCGGTCAGCTTTTGCTTCAAGTCAGATGAAGGCAGCCAAGTATGTCCAGAAGGTTTTAAAATGCCAGACTTCATCGTGCATCCCTGTGGCCCTTCATTAACCATCTGATGCCCCAATTTTTTTTTCTTTTCCCCTCTGCTAGACACTCATTAGTTTGAACCTAATCGTGCGCAGTTGCACGCAGTTGCAGAAGTAGTCGGCTCTCAGTATCCACGAGGTTCAACTAACACCTGATTTCTGACCCTCTCCACCACCCTGTGTAGTGGGGGCTGCACGTTCACCTTTGCTGACAGGGAACCTGCCTTCAGAAAGGCCACACGGTCAAGTCAGGGAGCTGGGGTTTGAACCCGAGTCTTCTGGCCTTTTATCCTTCAACTTTCCTAGACAGCGCACATCCTCTCCCAGGAACTACCGACCACCAGTCATGCAGTGGGCACTCAGAGCCAGGTTGGTCTGGGGTGTGATGTGAGATCTCCTGGTGATTGGGTGTCTCCAGAAGAGCAAACCGGTCAGACAGACTTAAGGGAGTAAGATGGAGTTGGTGCCCTAAGTCCAAGGCGTGCGGACTACCTGTCTCCCCGTTCTAGGGAGAGTTAGCAGAAGGTGTGGCAGCACTGGCAAGGGGAGGACTCCACAGGAGTTTCCTCGGGCAGAGGAGGCTGCAGGGGATGTTGTGGGCCTGCCCTCCTGAGCAGAGCTGTGCCCAAGGGGCTTCAGAGCAGCTCATCCACATCAGATGTGGCCCAGCCCTAGAGGGAGGTGGAGCGGGGAGAACACGGAGAGGCTGGGCTGCAGGAGGAGGGTCTACCTTCATTAGACCCTGAGCTCAGAAGCTGCCCTGCCAGGCCTGCCCCTGCCCCATGGCTCTCCCCAGCTTGTCTTCAGGAGGCAGCGCTCACCAGCTCATTAGGACGCCTCCATTTTTAATCCTGGCTGCGTCACAGACTTGCTGGGTGATTTGGGGCAAATTCTTCACCTATCTAAAATGAGGACTTGCTTAGTGGTTGTTAACCTGACTAACAGTGGAATTCCTTCCTGCGAGTGAAGAACCCCATTTTTAAATACACTTTTGTGGCACTCGTATGAGTTTCCTAGGGCTGCTGCAACACATTTAACCCTAGATGTGGTGGCTTAAAAGTCCAGAAATTTATTCTTGCACAGTTCTGGAGGCTAAAAATCTAAAATAAAGATATAGACAGGGCCAGGCCCCCTCTGAAAACTCTGGGAGAGAATCCTTTCTTGCGTCTTCTTAGTGTCTGGTGGCTCCTGGTAATCCTGAGCAGTCTTTGGTTTATAGCTACATCATTTAAGTCTCTTGTCTTTGCCCTCATGTGGCCATCTTCTCTGTTCCTCAGTGTCTTTTTCTGCCTCTTACAGGGACACTTTCATTAGATTTAGAGCTTCATTTAGATTACGATCTCGTCTCAAAAGCCTTAACTAATTATATGCGTAAAGACCCTATTTCCGTATAACATCATATTCTGAGGTTCTGGGTAGACATGAATTTGGGGGGCATTATTCAACCCACTATAGTACCCCTAAATAGAAGAAATTAAAGGTGCTTGGTTTTGTTTGGAGGTAAATGGAGGCCCAAGACCCTGGCCTCATGTCCTTGTTGCCTACCGCCAGCCTTGGCAGCCTCCAAGAATCAGGTCTGCAAGCCACTAGGTACCCAAGGTTCCAGGAAGCCCTAGTTCACCATATCCCATGGTGATGAGACTTTGGACTTAGAATTTTGAATTGATGCTGGAATGAATTAAGACTTTGGCGGCTAGGGGGACTCATGGCCTGGTTCTTTGGTTAAGAGTCTCTTCTTGGTTTTTCTCAAATGTGGCTGTACCCCAGAATCACCTGGGTGCTTGGTAAAAAAGCAGATACCAATGAGACTTTGGGTTCTGGTCAAAATGGAGGGGACACGTGTATCCCTATCCAGGCACCATGCACTAAAACACAGGACTAAAAACACAGGACATTAGGTATAAAACATAAGACTGAAAGGTAGAGAGAAGAATGTGGAACAACACAGTAGTCAATTCCTTGGGTTTTCTTTTTGCCTCCTGTGTATCCTAGACTGTATGCTAAAGAAACCAACCCAGAAATGTCAGTGAGCATAGACCAGAAAAAGCCCCAGGGAAAGAAAGCTCACTGTCACTCATCAAAGGACTGGAAGAGGACCAGCCTTACAATACCTTTTTGACAATAGTACCCTATTCCTGTAAAACACCAGGGAAAACTGCTTCTCCCCTCCCTTCCAGCTTTAGTAAAGGCTGAATAGACAGACATCCATCCTTGCTTTTCAGTAACCAACCAGGTACCTCCCATCTTTAGCAAAGTAGCCCCACCCCCCCACCATGGGGCTGGATGAGAAGCCTGGACTTTTACCACAACCCGGAGGTAAAAAGATCCCTTGAGGTTTCACCGGAGCCTAGACTTGGACCCCCACCCAGTGGTGGGGGGTGATGAGACACCCCTACTGAGGAGCCTAGATTTCCACCCCTTCTCAGTGGTTATGCCGCATCTCTCACTTTCCCTGCCAGAGTGCTGCTGCTGGAGGCCGAGCAAGGAAGCGTGGATTTCCCCCTACCCAACGATAGAGGCAGCACTCTCCCTTCCCCACCAGCATGGTTCTTGCAAAAACCTGCTGAAACGGAAAACCTAATATAAGCTCCAGGATAAGTCTTAGCAAAGAAAGAGAAGATAGAAGGAACTAAATGGAGATTTGAGAACCGAAGAATGTAGTAACCAAAATTAAAAAAAAAAAAAAATCACTGGTGGGCCTAGTAGAAGAACGGAGATGACAGAAGAAAGAACCCGTGAACATGAAAACAAACAGTAGAAATTAGCCAATTTAAACCGTGAAGAGAAAATAGACTGGGAAAACAAATTGAACAGAACGTTAGACATCTCTAGGACAATACTTTTTAAAAATTTAGCATTCGTGGACCAGGCTTCTGAAAAGTAGACAAAAGAACACTCTTCAGGGCCACGCGAGAGGAAGGACGTACTACGTCCAGGGGAAAAGCGCTTCACGTACAGTAGATTCCTCCTCAGAAACATGGCGGCCGGAGGGAGGCTGCCCAGCCTAAGCGTTTGTGTGCTGAGAGAAAGCACTGTCACACTGAAGTTCTGTCCCAGTGAAAATATCCTGTAGGAAAGAAGGGGAAATCAAGACATTTTCTTCACCTGAAGGAACACTGGGAGAATTTGCTCTCAGCAAATTTCCCTAAAATGATGACCAAAGGAAGTTCACCGGAGAAGTGGTAACAGAAGAAAACCTGGAACATCAGGGACAAAGAAAGAACAGGAAGAGTAAAAATGTGGGTAAATACTATGAACTCTTCTTTCCCTCTTGAGGAGATTACACTTGACAGTTGAAATAAAAATTAGAGCACTGTCTGATGCAGATTTTGATGCATGTAGAGGAAACATTGAAGATAATTATAAGGGAGGAGGGTAAAAGAGCCCAGATGGAGATCAGGTCTCTGTCCTCAGTCAAGAGGTAGACTGTCACTACCAGTAGACGCTGCTAAGTTGCATATACATTGTATGGTGCCTAAAGAAACCACTAGAACATCTGCACTGAGAAATACACTCAGAAACACTGTACCTAAAAATGGAATTCAGATAATCTGCAAGAAGACGGGGAAATGAAACAGAGGAACAAAAGATGCAGATGCCTAAGCCGTACTCCAGACTTCCTACTGAGTCAGAACCTACAGGATTCCTGCCTGCAAGTATCTGGTTTTAGCAAGGGCCTCTGGGGATTTCAGGAACCAGCCAGGTTTGAGAATCTGTGGTCTAGACCAGTTTTTATTTTTGTTTTTGTTTTAGAGAGAGCGAGTGAGCATGTGTACAGGGGTAGGGGGACAGCTGGGAGGAGCAGGCGGAGAGGGAGAATCTTCTCCATGCTCAGCTTGGAGCCCAGTGCGGGGCTTGACCTCATGACCCCTTATGACCTGAGTTGAAATCAAGAGTCAGATGCTTAACTGACTAAGCCACGCAGGCGCCCCTAGACCTTTTTAAAAAAATTTTTTTTTATATATTTTTTATTAACATATAATGTATTATTAGCCCCATGGGTACAGGTCTGTGAATGGCCAGGTTTACACACTTCACTCAGCATAGCACACACCCTCCCCGATGTCCATAATCCAACTGCCCTCTCCCTCCCCCCGGCAACCCTGTTTGTTTTGTGAGATTAAGAGTCTCTTATGGTTTGTCTCCCTCCCGATCCCATCTTGTTCCATTTATTCTTTTCCTACCCCCCCAAGCCCCCACGTTGCCTCTCAACTTCCTCATATCAGGGAGATCATAGGATAATTTAAACCTTTATTTTTTTTAACAGCAAATTGCCAACGCTGTTAGGTTGTAAATTCAATTAAGAGGAACATGTCCCCCCACCTTTTTAGAACGAACTTAATATACTGGACTAGAAAAGGAAACACTGGAATACACTATAGCCGGTCAGAGTAATTCTTCGTGAAATTTTGGGGGAGCAGTATAACATGTGCGTATGATGAATGTGTGCATGGTGAACCGTTAGATGAGGGTCACTGGAAGAAATGGTGCCCCCAGGAACGGCCTTCAGCTAGTGCCAGAAAGGAATAGGAAGGCGAATAGCCCGGCCTCTTCAGAATAGTGACGTGCTCATTAATGTGCCTGTATTGGCGTCACTCCTCCTTCCCACTCTCCTACAGGGATTTCTTTGGATAATGTCTCAAACTATTTTGGCTCAAATCCTTGTCTCCAATTCTGCTTCTGGGGGAAACTAGTCTAAGCCCCTGTCTCTTTCTGGGCAGGATTGCACTTTGATTTTTGTGATTGCAGGGAGAGAGAAGATACAAGACCCCAAGAGTCCAAAGCTCGCCCTGAGGGAATAAAGGGGTGGCTCCAGTCCCACCCCAGGGCAGTAATGACCAGGCACCAGGGGTTCCCCGGGCAGCTCCTATAAGGGCACAGGGTGAGACCTCTCAAATCTGAGCAGTCCTGGGCTTCAGAGCAAGAATGTTAGCTTTCCTGCTAGTGCAGGAAAATGGAGCAAATGCCACCAGCCCATCCAGGCCTCTCTGCAGGCCTGCGTGTCAATGGTGCCGTCCAGATACAGTTCCTTCACTGGACCAGGGATGGGACAAATATCTACCCATCCTTTCATGGGAATCTAAAAGACAGCAGGCATGATTTCCAAACAGTAGCTTTAAGCAAGAGCAGACGATCCCCCATATCCCCTGGGCATATGTGCCATGGGTCCTAAGAAGGGGACACTGGGCTCTTGGTGTACAGCCTGGCCTCTGTGCCCATGTAAGGAAGAGTCCTTACCTCACAGGACCAGGAATGCCAGGCCCCTGGAGGGGACCCTCCCTGTGGCCTCTGGTCAAGGATCCTCCATTGGTTAGCTCTTCTTGTAGCAGTGCCTCATACCAAACAGCCACAGGATTTCAGTGACATCCAACAGTGAGCACTCACCCAGCCCAGCTGTTTGCGTGTCGGGGTCACTGGCCAACCAGGGGTCAGCTGGGTTAGACTGGGCTTGGCTGCAGCAGCTCCGTACTGCATTCCTGTCGCTCCTCCTGGAACCAGGAAGTTAGGCTGCACACATCCTCCCCTCGGCAACGTCCTAGGTATGAAGGCGTCTGGGCGAGTCACACAAGCTCTCTTCAAGCCTCTGATCATGTTTTCCCTGCTGACATTTCACTGGCCAAAGCAAGTGATGTGGTCAAGTCCCAAGGCAGGGCGCAGGGATGTATACCGCCCCCACGGGAGCGGTGGGGAAGGGAGGGCGAGAATCAGCGGGGACGGTACGGGCACTGCGCCCGGTAGGAGCCCAAGGTGGCTGCGGACGGACAGATGGACAGATGGACAGATGGGGCCAACACCTTTCCCTTTCCTTGTCTCCTGCAGGCTTGTGCTGGCGCTAGGGGCGCCCGCGGGTATGGGTAGAGCCAGCCAGGCCTGTGGCGCCGCCCGGGGGCTGTGCTGGCGCTAGGGCCCCACGGCGGCGTTAGGATGCACCTGTCCGCCGTGTTCAACGCGCTCCTGGTGTCGGTGCTGGCGGCGGTGCTGTGGAAGCACGTGCGGCTGCGCGAGCATGCGGCGGCGCTGGAGGAGGAGCTGGCCGCCGGCCGCCCCGCCCCGGAGCCCGCCCCCGCGCCCAGGATCGACTACCCCAAGGCCCTGCAGCTCCTGGCGGAGGGCGGTACGCAGATGGTGTGCAGCGGCCGCACGCACACCGACCGTGTGTGTCGCTTCAAGTGGCTCTGCTACTCCAACGAGGCCGAGGAGTTCATCTTCTTCCACGGCAACGCCTCGGTCATGCTGCCCAACCTGGGCTCCCGGCGCTTCCAGCCGGCGCTGCTCGACCTGTCCACCGTGGAGGACCACAACACCCAGTACTTCAACTTTGTGGAGCTGCCGGCCGCTGCCCTGCGCTTCATGCCCAAGCCCGTGTTCGTGCCCGACGTGGCCCTCATCGCCAACCGCTTCAACCCCGACAACCTGATGCACGTCTTCCACGACGACCTGCTGCCCCTCTTCTACACCTTGAGGCAGTTCCCGGGGCTGGCGCACGAGGCGCGGCTCTTCTTCATGGAGGGCTGGAGCGAGGGCGCTCACTTTGACCTGTACAGGCTGCTCAGTCCCAAGCAGCCACTCCTGCGGGCGCAGCTGAAGGCGCTGGGCCGGCTGCTGTGCTTCTCCCACGCGTTCGTGGGTCTCTCTAAGATCACCACCTGGTACCAGTATGGCTTCGTCCAGCCCCAGGGCCCCAAGGCTAACATCCTTGTGTCCGGCAATGAGATCCGGCAGTTTGCCCGGTTCATGATGGAAAAGCTGAACGTGAGCCACGCGGGGGCGCCCCTGGGCGAAGAGTACATTTTGGTTTTCAGCCGCACCCAGAACAGACTCATCCTGAATGAGGCCGAGCTGCTGCTGGCACTGGCCCAGGAGTTCCAGATGAAGACGGTGACGGTGTCCCTGGAGGACCATGCCTTCGCTGACGTCGTGCGGCTGGTCAACAATGCCTCCATGCTGGTCAGCATGCACGGGGCCCAGCTGGTCACTGCCCTCTTCCTGCCCCGCGGGGCAACCGTGGTCGAGCTCTTCCCCTATGCGGTCAATCCGGACCACTACACCCCCTATAAGACGCTGGCCACGCTGCCCGGCATGGACCTCCAGTACGTAGCCTGGCGGAACACGATGCCAGAGAACACGGTCACGCACCCTGAGCGGCCCTGGGACCAGGGGGGCATCACCCACCTGGACCGGGCTGAGCAGGCCCGTATCCTCCAGAGCCGTGAGGTCCCGCGGCATCTCTGTTGCCGGAACCCTGAGTGGCTCTTCCGCATCTACCAAGACACCAAGGTGGATATCCCGTCCCTCATCCAAACCGTGCGGCGTGTGGTGAAGGGCCGGCCTGGGCCACGGAAGCAGAAGTGGACCGTCGGCCTCTACCCAGGCAAGGTTCGGGAGGCGCGGTGCCAGGCGTCCGTGCAGGGCGCCTCCGAGGCCCGCCTCACCGTCTCCTGGCAGATCCCCTGGAACCTCAAGTACCTGAAGGTGAGGGAGGTGAAGTACGAGGTGTGGCTCCAGGAGCAGGGGGAGAACACTTACGTGCCTTACATCCTGGCCCTGCAGAACCACACCTTCACCGAGAACATCAAGCCCTTCACGACCTACCTGGTGTGGGTCCGCTGCATCTTCAACAAGATCCTCCTAGGACCCTTTGCAGATGTGCTGGTGTGCAACACGTAGCGAGTGTGCTGTGGCCAGGCCACGGTGGGGGGCGGGGATGGCTCCCCTGGCACAGTGTCCTGGGGCCCACTGGTGTCCTGCGGTGGCTTCCGGGAATTATTTATTTATCAAGCAGGCCTTCCCCAGGCCTGTGCCTCCGCGTCTTCTTACTGGGTCTAGAGTGTGAGGTTCCCAGCACTTTTTGCACTGGTTAGTGGGACCCTCCCAACCCCCTTCTCCTGTCCCGAGCCTCCGTACTCTGGAGAAGGTCCTCAGTGGGAGGAGAAAGAAGGAAAGTGAAAATCCTAAGGAGCCTCTGGCTGAGAAATCGTGCTGTACCCTACTGAATCTCTCTGGTTGATATCCAGATGTCTGGAAACTGAGTAAATCATGTGGTTGCTTGGGTGGGTGGTTCATCAGCTTCCATCATCATGAAATTCACCTGTAGCACAGTGAAGGTGTGTTTGGAATATTCATTAAATGATTATAAACATCTTGGCCAAGTCTTTTTTTTTTAATTTAATATTTTATTTATTTATTTTTAGAGAGAGAGCGAGAGAGCAAGAGAGAGCATGAGCAGGGAGCCCGATGATGGACTCAATCCCAGGACCCTGGGATCATGACCTGAGTGGAAGGCAGACGCTTAACCGACTGACCCATCTAGGCACACCTTGGGCAAGTCTTTTTATTGGGTAGTTGGAAGCAGGGCTGGTAGTCGGTGCCCGTGTGCTCTTTCATCTTATCAGCCGAGGAGATGTGGCGATGGGCAAGCGCCGAGGACCGCGAAGTGGGGCAGGCTGGTTGCATTGCGTCTTGCAACTTGCCAGGTGAATGTCACATTTCCCATCTAAGTGGGGTCCAAGTCTGGAAGCCTAGGGTCTGGTCTGCGGTGAAGAAAAGCACTGCCCCCCAGGGGGCGCTCTTACGCTAAAGAGGACATCCGGCAGCCAGGACCACAGCAGACCAAACTGGGCATCCCGTTAGCTTAGAAGGACAGACGCCAGGGAATTCAGCAAGATAGCACGGAGCACTTTTCTTTAGCAGGAGGAGTCCTTACGGCAGCCCAGGGGCCGTTCTCCCCCTGTTCTGCGAATTGCTGCTCGAGGGTGCAGAGGAAAGACCCCTGTCAGTAGTTGGGGCCACCAGCTTAGAAGCCCCATGGGAGCCATTGTCTTTCAAACAATAGACATGGTTCCAGCCCACCCCCCCACCGCCTCCACCCCCTGCCCCCCCCCACACACTGTGCTCAGTGGAGCCTGCTGTTCTGGTGCCTGCCCAGACACTAGTACCCGCAGAGCACTTCCAGTGTGGACATAGCTCATCTGTTGTAGGTCACTTGTACTGTTAGCTTTGCTGAATGGCACACCTGTCATTCCACTGTTCTCCGGCTTCTGCAGAAACAGCTAGAACGTTAATTCAAGATCAGCAGGGACCCTGCTCCAAGTCTGACTCCTGGGAAGGAGAGCAGGAAAGGGGGTCCAGGAGGGAGAGTCACTGGCTGTAGCTCAGCTGGAAGGTTGTCACACCAAGCTAGACAGTTCTCAAGCTGAAGTGGTCTGTTAGATGAGTAGCAGGTCCCTGGCCAGGGCAGTCTGGGAAGAATGGCTTCGGTGCCTGTCGGTGGTGGATTCAGAGCAGGAGACCTGAGTGGCATGTTTTCGTGGTCATCAGGGGCCTCTGTGACCTTCCCTTTACCCAGAATATCTTTGTCCCTAACTGTACCCGCCATCGACCGCCTTCTCGGACTGCCACATTGATGCACACATGAAGATTCAGTTCAGTTGGAAGTCTCTAACATTGAGAGGTGGGGGTAAAACTACTTGGAAACACCTTGGTGGTTTCTGCTAAGGCTGAACACAGCTGCCCTGGGTCTCAGCGATTCCACTGCTAAATGTATACCCCAGAGAAAGGAGTGCCAATGCCGTCGAAAGACATGTATCAAATACAGCTCTAAATAGCCAGAAGCAAAACAAGACCAGTTTCCGCCAACAGATATATTCATGCAAAAGACACAACTTTTTTTTAAAAGATTTTATTTTTTTAGAGAGCATGAAATGGGTGGGGCGGGGAGGGCAGGAGAGGAAGAGGGGAGAGAGAAAAAATCCCAAGCAGACTCCGTGCTGAGCACAGAGTCCCACATGGGGCTCAATCTCATGACCCTGAGATCATGACCTGAGCTGAAAGTAGGAGTCGGATGCTTAATCAGCTGAGCCACCCAGGCGCCCCAGGACACAACAATTAAAAAAAAAAAAAAGAAATGAAATATGGGTACACACAACCGTAAATCTCACAGAGTATTAAATATATACCAAGTGACAATATATACTGTACGATTCCATTTACACGAAGCGCTGGAATAAGTAAACCAACCTATGGCGGGAGAAATCTGAATCGCTCCTGGGAAGGGTCGAGACTGAGCTGGATAGGTGGGAACTCAGGCCGGGATGTCTTGATCTGGCTGGTGGTTGCACGGCAACTGTCCATGTCACCAGGCATCCGCTCACACTTGAGATAGGTGCCCTTTATGTACGTCACTGTTGACCTCAGTTAAACAGAAACAAAAACTCGGCCCAGGGGGCAACTCTTCTGGAAAGCAGTGTGTGTCTTCTCCAGCTCCCCAGTCATGAGGCCTGCCGCATCTCCCAAACCCCAGCTCTGCCGCCCTGTCGTGTTCTGGCAGGTACTGTGCTCCCACAAGGGTTTGCCCACGGCTAGAGGCTCAGCGTGGGTGTTTGTGGACCCTGATGCCGAGGAGCTCCGCAAGTGGTTCGTTTGTTCCATGAAACAATGGATTTCTGCCTGTGTCCATATTGCTTTTGCAAATTTGTGATCCTTTGAAGCTTTGTCCTGGTTTTTTTGGTTTTGTTTTGTTTTTTCCTCTTAACATCGTAACATGAACGCGTTACCGTGTCACTGAAAGTTATTCTTTGAAAACAAGATTCTAGCTGACTGTAGAACGTTCCACTGCATGGGCTCACAAAGAAATTGCTACCCTTTCCCCAGGTCACAGCATTTGTTAAGGGGCAGGAGCCTGGATCCACAACCAGCAGCCCAGCTCAGGCCCTTTGACACCTGTTTCTGCTTTTGCTGCTGCTTTGTTACCATGTTTCTTTTATTGATGTTTAGTTAATTTCTAGTGACTTGCACAGATCTTCACTGTACAGTCTCATGGGTTTCACACATACATACTTCTTCGTACCCCACACCCTTGCAAGGTGTACATTATTGCTATTACCCCCATATTTGCAGTTTTTTGCACTTTGGAAGTTTAGCAGGCAAGAATTGTTTTTTGTTATCATAGAGGGGTTACAAGAGCTGCATTTAACATTAAGGGTATGCCATTTTGTTGGTACTGTTTGTTTTAAATTAGTGTCCTCACACAGCTGCATCAAAGAATCAGGGGGACGATGATGGCAGGAGAGCCCGGGAGCTGGGATCTAGGGTGCCCAGGAGCATCTCCGACAGAAGCCCATCCCAATAGACAGCAGCAACCTCTGCACCCCATGAGTCAGCTCTGAGAGCACCTCACTGGCCATGGGTGGGGGGGTAGCAGGCCAGTGCGAGGCCTGGGAAGGGAGCACACACGGACCCCCCAGCCCAAAGCAAACCCCTCAGAGGTGTCTCTCAGCCCTCGGCTGTGTAGCCTCTGTCCACCCCGCTTGGCCATCCCTGTGTGGTCAGGCGCTCCGGGAGTACCACCCCCCACCCCAGGCACTACCCAATAGCATGTACCCCTGAGCTGATGGGGGGCCCTCCTCCATCTGGGCCCCCACCCTCCAGCACAGGAGAGCAGTGTTAGGTCTGCAAATAGTCCTCAGATGTGGGGAGGGTGGAAGGGAGGCAGTGGCATGCTGCCTTCCTCTTTGCAGGGGTGTGGCCCTGTGCTCTCCCAGCCCAGTGTGGAAGACGGTGACAGCCTGGCCAGGTCACTCTGGTCAGCGCCAGAGGCAGAGCCCAGGGCTGCATCCCCATGCAGAAGAGCACTGTGGGGTCTCTCTCAGGAGTCCTGCTGACTGTGGGAACTCCAGGGCCCTTACAAAAAGAAGTTTCATGTCTCAGAGAAAACCTCGTGAAGCCACACAGCATATTAGAATTTGAGACAGTCCTGTTCTGTTTGGGGAATAAAAAGCACAAAAAGATGTAGTTGCTTTCTGGCCACTTACATCTAGTGGAAATAATCCAATAATCTCGTTTGGAATGTTGTACTGTTGGGACTTCCCAGGTGCAGGTAGGGCAGCCTTCTTCTAGGATTGCTAAGCTTTAGAAAAACACTTTAGAAAAACACTCCAACTTGAATTTCATGTAACAGGGTTTTGGGTACTGTATTTCCTGTATTGCTGTAATCTTGTGCTGTGTTTGGCAACACTACCTTTTTCCCACTAGTGGAAAATGTGAGGTGGGGAGGTTTGTTGTATAACCACGAGGTTAATAATCCCTCGTACTCCCATTTTCCCAGTGGAAATGCAGAGGTGCTGGTGGGAGGAAGGCCTCACTCCTGCCTCAGCTACAATAAGAAATAGGAACGATACCAAATGCCTGAAAAGATACAGGGAAACCAAGATCGCTCATCTACATTGCTGAGAAGAGTGAAATGGTAGCCTGGGAATAGTTGGGCAGTTTCTTAAGAAATTAAACATATTACCATGAAATTGCACTCCTGGGCATTTGCTCCAGGAAAAAAAAAAAAAAAAAAGAATATTCTGTTCACACAAAAACAAGTACGAGAATGTTCAGAGCAGCTTTCATTGTATTAGCCAAAAATGAGAAATGACCCAGATGTCCTTCAGTAAACAGTAAACAAACTGTGGTCTCTCTGGACCATGGGGTACTAACTAATAAAAAGGAACAGTAATAAAAAATGAATAACTATTGGTAAAAGCAACAATTTGGCTGGATCTCAGGGGCGTTGTGCAGAGGAAAGAGAAAAAAGCAACTCTCAAAAATTTACATGCTGTGCGATTCCATTTAGATACCATTCTCAAAATGATAAAAATTGTAGAGATGGAGACCAGATGTACGGCTGCCGCGGATGAGGGTGGGAGAGAGTGAAGGGGTGGGTGTGGCGG